TGCCCTCAAAATTAGCTTCTTTTATTCAGAGCTTTCGTTTTTAGCTGCCGCCGGCCCGCAGACCGATAACGCTGCTGTTACAGAGGCTGAGAAGCGGATTGGTGGGGCGAGCAAGAAGGATGATTAAGTTATTGCCATATAATTTAATACGGATCTTGGTGGGTCGCTCTATCTATGGCGTCGCGAGACGGAGAGACTGACGTCCTTTTTATAGTGTCAAAAATACATACGTGGACAGCTAGTTCTCGAATTCAGATTTTATATTTCGGATGAACTGAGGTTGTATCTTGTTGTACCGTGCGAGTCAGTGGGGGGCGGCATACGGCTCTATCCAGCACCAAGGCGTTGCTCATATCTGTCGCCCTGTCATTAAATGTAAGCGCGTTCGTGCTCGACCCTGTATTCCCTTCCTCGTCCTCGCCCTGTTCAGTTCTTCGCGTCTGTAACCGGCTGGCGCTTCTTTCACATGTCAATATCACCATTCTGTGTCAACGGGTTTCCAGGAAGCATCGAACAATAGACAATAGAGCTTGCCACGCTTATCATTTGCCCTGGTATAAAGCTGCAGCGGTTTCACGCTATCTATACCGCCTGCCCTTGCCATCCTTCACGACCCTGAAATGACCCAACCAGCTTATTCTCCTACTTCGGATGTTCCTGTGTACCATTACCACAAGTTGTCGATGTTCCCGCTCTAGTCTTCCTGAGCTCATCCCGTTTCGTAGACGATTGACCAAACGACCACACTACAACACGCATGCTGTACAGTTATTAGACGAAGATTACGACGAACGCCACACCAGTACTTTTTCTGTTTGCGGTGAGTAGGAACACTGGAGATTGACGTCCGCTTGTAGGATCTTTGAAGTCCGACCGGAGCCTCGAGCGTGTCTGGATTCGGGTCTGGACGCGGTTCAAGCACGACGTCAAAGGCTTGTTTCACCCACTGGCTCACAGTCAACTCTCCCCTGAAGCCTCTGAGGGAGAAGCCTCCCCACCATCGAAGCCACCACGGCGTTTAGGATGCCTGTTAATATAGAATTAAATAGACGAACACGAGGATGGAATTCAGAACGCCGAGACAGATCCATTACAGTGCTCATTGTTCTCTGTAGTGAGCGGTGGGATTCCACTCAGTGCGAGTTGCATGTCGAAGGAATCGCAGGGTTCGGTGAATATCGGGAACAAGTCAACGGCAGCCCTTGCATTCCGTAGCTAATACGCGTTGTTCCAAGCAACGACGAGGTCAGGACAAGTTGGATTCGAACGATGCTTAACGACGCGAACGAGTAGTACAGCGAGGGACACGTCGTCTTCATTTTGTTTACCCAGCAACTACATACGCAGTTCTGAGAAACAATGAGCCTGTTGATCGCAGAGAACAAAACTAACACGCACCAGTGTATCTACTTCTCCCACTCAGGGTAGAGCTCTTCTTCTAATGTTATACCTAGAGATTCGGAGTTGAGAGAGCAAAATCTAGCTTCAGAGACGAAATCACTCACCAAGCTCTTCCCGGACACCCTTCAGCTCAGCTAGGTAATCCTGATACTGCTTCTTGTTCTCCACTTTCACTTTGACGCCATTGAAAACCCGAACAGCAGTAGCAAAGTCGTCGACCCGTCTGGCAGCACGCACGGCGGCTTCTATGACGGCAGGTGCAGGTACGAGGTCGTGGGCGAAGCAGTTGTTGAGGCCGCGTTGGACCTCAAAGATGTCCTCGGCCTGAATGCGAATTGAGAGTCGTGGGTGCGGCGCGATATGTAGTAGAGTTACCTGCTTGAAGAATGCGACATAACGCTCAGTGAAGGATTCGAAAGTCTCCTGCGCATGCTCGCTGTAAGGGCGCGCTCGGATAACGGTGGGAAGAGCGCTCCGGGCGACAGTGGGGCGCGTTGAAGCCCGGAGGACGCTGGAGAGTATCTGCGGGCGCATCATGGCGGAAGGGAAAAGTCTAGGCAGAGATCAAAACATCATTTCTGGACTTGGCTGGACCCATCGACTACTTATTACACAGTGAACTACTACTTAGGCTCAACGACTAGATAAAATCAAATCCGCCGCTTTCTGACTGATAGCATAGATAGTGGACATCGTATGGCTAGTCAATTGGAAAGGTATCACACTCGCATCGACAATTCTCAGTCCAGTTGTTCCGTAAACCCTGAAAACAATTTAGAGTGAGAGGTGAAGGTATAAGTATTGACATACTCCAGCGTAGGCGAAACCACTCCGCCGGCTGCGCGCGGACGCATCGCCGAAGTACCGAGCTTTGATAAACTGTGAGTAACATCGCTGCAATATGTGTACAACAAACCCAGTGCGAAGCGCCCTAAGAATCGGTTAGCTGATAGCAAAGGGGTCAAAGATAGTACGAACGAAAGACGTGTTCTTGTACCAGGCAGCCCAATCTTCAAACGTGCGTTGTCCGGTACCGCGTCAATTACCACTTCAGCAATGATGGGTTGAAATGCAGAAGTTCTATACAGCGCACGAGCCCTCTGTGCTATCTCCACCGCTGTCTGGACGTCGAAATCATCAGTCAGGAAACGAGGAGTGATCCGGGACTGTCGAAGGGCTGGCGGAATCATTGAGCGTAGGTCAGTGGTTTCGAAAGATGCGCTCACATTGGAAGAATTGATATGAATGTGCCCTCGAGATAGTGGAGTCAACGGCCACTGAGCGCAGTCAAGGCGAACGTTCAAAAGACGAATGAAGGACGAACAAAGATGGAGCTCATCACAGCCGTAAATGACTCTGAAATGAGTTCTACGATGGGCGTCTTGTCTTTGGTTATCAAATCCGTCACTGTCGTGAACAGTTCCATGGCGCCAGCGACATTGACCGCTGCGCCCGCAGAAACAGCAGCTCTCGCCCTGGCTGCGGTAGACTTTCGAAGCTGTTCGGAGAGTGCGGCTGACTCTGCGACAACCAATAAGCAGTCGCAAAAAGAAGACAAGGAAACAGACTATTCGTGAAAAGCTGGTCGATATCGAGGAGCGTGATAACTGCGCCGATCAGTTGCAGTCAGATCTCCAGCCGCCTGACAAACCTGGTGCGAAGATGTTGCGCTGGTAAGCGTTAGCAGAGCTAGCAGCTCAAGGTGGTTCGCTCACATGTCGATGAGCAAAGAGTCGGAAGCATTGGCTGGCTGAACCAGAGCTGAAAGACTGGTACCAGGTTGGTCCCTGGTCCCATAAATTTCACAAAAGCAGTTATCGCAGAGTGCATACCTGCAAATTCAAACCGACACCGGGCAGATCCACGAGTTGTTTGATACCAAATTTGTGAAGGATGCTTTTAAATGGTGAGCGAAACGTTTTCAGATTCAAAACAGGTAACTTACGACTTGCTGCCCACTCCCGATCGTTCCAAAATCTTGTGGCTGTCAATAAAGAAATCACAACGGAATACGGCTTACAGGAGGTGTCTAGCATCGTCAGTACGTGGCGGTGTCCAAAGTGTAACAACCTACGGCAAGAGATCCGGCGGCAAGAAGAACTTCATGTCTGGCATTTACTGTTTCCACAGCTCCACCAGTCGCCGGTCCGAACTGCAGTCCCGTAGCCCTAAGGTTTTTTATCGAAGATAACTTTTGCGACCTTGTGTTCGGTGAGCACCGTTAAAGTCTGCTGTTGTTTAGACGCAGGATACAACAGAGAATATGCAGCTGATGCGCGCTGGGTGAATTCGGCCACGGGATTCCACCAAATCGTCCACGACCTGCCGCTACTAAGTTCAAAGTACGCTAGAGAATCGAACGCCTACGTCGACGCAGAAACACTCCGTTCCTTGCACTCAGGTCGGGGCCGTCAGTCACACCAACCACAAGCGCAATGGCAGCTTTATAGATAGCCTGCGCTTCGGGAATCCTCATCGGTACGGGAAAAGACACGTTCACGGGCCCGGCGAAACCGTGGACAGCTGGCACGAGGTCGGCGCCGTCGGCTCTTTGTTCTGCGGAGGGAGGGAGGTTGTGTTCGATGGCTTGCATGTACTGTGCGGGTGAGATGTAAGATGTACGTTGCCAAAAGAAAGAAAGAGAATATACTGGGAAGAGCGTCGTAGAGTTCCAGCCTGGATTTCCGAGGCTTTGGATTGCATCTAACTCTGCAGCGGCGGGTCTGGTGATTGCTGAGAATGTATATCTCAAGATGATTTTCGATAACTCACCGATACCAAACCATGCCGTTCTGCGCCATGTTAGCTTGGTCTCATCAAATAGGACTGGAAACCTTACAATCGAGGAACTTCCACCAACACACTTTCCGCTGTCGATTGTAACAGGGAGTGCAGAGCCGTTCACATCGCTGCCAACGTAGTGCCAGTTGCAGTCCGTTTCGGGGGTCGTTATCGAGGTCTGTATATACTTATACTGAATAAAAAAGCAATGTCACAAGAAAACCCACCCACTGCCTCGAAGTTCAACATTGTAAATGGCACTATTATTTTGAAGATCCTTTCCAGCCTCAATAAGCAGCACACTGTATCCCCTCGCGCTCAACTGCAGTAGTTCCTCGCTCAGCTAAATGTACATTATGTACATCAATAGAAACAATCATACCTTTGTGCCGACAACAATTCCAGACAAACTGGAAGGGCTTAGTTCACGAACAGAACGCCTGAAATCGCGTACCCCGCGCCAGCAACTACCTGTATCGCAGTGAACAGCTGCATATCAGTGAATTGCTGTACTTACATAGTCGAAAGTGTGTCCCGACGCGACGCGACTGTCGTTAGTGATTCTGGTCGCAAAAGCACCAGCGGCGATGCCCAACAGCACAATAGACCACATGGGAGTTGAGGTGGGACCTCTGCTTATGGCATATGCGGCCGTATTGAGCAGGCTAGCATGCAAGACGTCGGGCGGAGTTGGGAGTTGAATTCATCACGCCGCCAATCTCAAGCGTGAAGAGGTGTAAAAGTTGACGGATCTGGGCATATTGTTCGAAAACTCGAAGAAAGCTGGAGCAAAAATAGTTATTTTCTGCTTCATAGTATGGCCATCGTGGGGGTCGAACCCAAGACCTTCGCGTAAATCAGGATATACGATCCCATATTAGCACGACGCTCTAACCAACTGAGCTAGACGGCCCTGGCAACGGGCTTTTTATAATGTATATCGCTGTATTACTCTCAGCACTTCCCTGGACGAAAACACGGTCACGCGCGACGCGAACTTGGCGCGTCGTTTCGGTCTTGTGCACGCTAATATGCCGCAGAGATCCCTCCCAAGGTGGCTTCAAGTGGACGATATCGTTGGCTGAATCCCCCGACGAGTCACATTTACAAGAAATATCATTATTGCAACTCATCTACATATGCGCAGGATAATCAGGTACACATGTCACAGGGAGCTGGCTTCGAGCCATATAATTAAGGAGTGGAATGTACGCGAGGCGCCTGTCGAGTCGAGCCACGCCGGCAAGAAAATTACAAGGGGAAAAAAAGATGGACCAAGGATGAAGCACTCCATCAAATAATACAACAACATCGTTCTGCTCGCAAGGAAAAGTCGTCTTGTTCTTCATCGTCAATTCTCCTTCATGTCCTCCTCGTCGATGCTGCTGAACCCCTTCCACACGCCGGGAGCGTGGTAAAACTCGGAGCCCGGGGACGATGGAACGGCGACGATACAGGGGGTTTGGCATAAAATACATCTGCGATGGGCAGCGCAGGGGCGAGGGCGGGCTGGATTTCTAAACGCGAGAGGGGAGGCCGGGCAGGGGCGCCCAGCGGCAAGGCGGGAAGGGGGACAGTGGGTGCGGGAGGGGTAGGTGCGAACAGCAGAGCTACGGGGCGTTGATTCGTCAGGGGCCTGCGACCGCGAAGGCTGAAAACACATTGTTCGTCAAACAGAGCACAAAAGAAGAAGAAAAACATGAGACGAACCGGTTTCCGAGACTACCGCTGCGCATGCCGACCAAGTATGCTGTTGTCCTCGCTAGCATGGTTCAGACTGCCGCTGCGAGATCGAGGCGAGTTGGCTGCGACGTTGGCTATGTGCCATGCATTGCCTGCGGCGCGAGCAGGAGACTTCAAGGAGCTGATTGGGGACACAGCGGAGGTGAGACTGGAGCGGCGCTTGCGGGTGGGGGAGCGGGGACTCTGGGGGCGGGTGGAGATGGCAGGAGGAAGTATACAAGGTCGCCTGTGGAGTAATGAGGGGGCGTTCTCGTGGTCTATGTCCTCGTCGACGGGGGTGATTGAAAGACGAGTAGACTGCAGAGGCGTGGGGCTGTAGACCCGAGGTGTAGAAAGTGCTGTAGCTGGTCGTCATTGTCTTGGGCGGCGTGAAAGAGAGAGAGAAAGGCAGCAAATGAAGGAGCCTGAAAGGATCGCGGACGAGAGAACAAGGTGTGAGAGAAAGAAAGTGTTGAACCAGCCTTTGTGAGTCCAAAACAAGCGCACACAACGCCTCATTTCTCGCTACGACTACCGTTCACACTCATAGATCAGATCCTCTGCCATTCTGCATATGGGGCCCACAACGAATTGCTCAATTTCTTGAATCATTGGCTCTTCGCTTTCTTTCGGCATAATTGCAATTTCTCTGGACGTCGAACACGACGTCGGCTGCAAAAGTAGCCAAAGTCAAGAACAATTCACTGCATAGCAACGTTTCAAGCAACACTGTCAACTTACTACTTAGTTACTGAGGCTGAGGCTACGGATCTTTTTTCATCCACAAATCACCGGTCTTGCTTTCGCCGTTTCACGAATTTGCGACCTAGTGCTCTCGAAACGATCCAGGGACCCATGAATCGTCTGGATCTGAGCTACTAAACTGCAGTCATCTGAAGACCGGACATCTGGATGACAAACTAGCTCGAACTTGGATGGTCTCGTAAATCGTGCAGCTCTGGCCATTCACTGAGAAACGCTTCAAATTGAATGGTGCACCAATTCAAAACTGTTAACGGCCTTTCATGCCCCGTTTTGCGCATCTTATGGTCAGAGTCGCGAATTGCGAGCCTGAACATGAATAATGGATGCCCGCTCCTCTCGGTTGGTGGTATACCCGCAGTCAATGTCCTCAACCACTCCTCCATATCCTGGTAGACAAGGCAGTCAAAACCAGCTTGCCAGCTCGTCGAATAGGTGACTCCGATCTCGTTCTTTCAAACTACTACAACAACCTCAGAGCACTGGTCAAAATGCAAAAAAAGGTGGCTACGTGTTATAATTCCAAAAGTACAGTTGTTTAGTGTGGGTATTATATAATCTACCTTACGCGCATATCTACAATGCAAAAAAAAAACGAACAACAAGCGTATGCGTACAAAAAGCAAGAAATAAGATACCGATAATAAAGTAAGCACTGTTCTTCACGGTCACCCGACAAGCCGAAACCGAACAATCGTCTTCTCCCCCGCGAAATACCTGTGCGAATCATCCGGCAGAACAGCAACCTCCAGCTCCCCCTGCATACTCTTCGGCCGCTTCGGATTCGGCGCGTGCCCCGGCGGCATATGCACAGGCAGAATCACATCCACCAAATGCACACACGCAAAACGCGTAACCACGCCCCCAGGCTTCCCCAAAATACTCACCCAGCTCGTCGGGCTAAACTCAATCCCGCCTGCCCGCGCAACAGCGTCCTTGACCCCATGCGACTCCATCTCAATCTCCGTTTTGCGGGCAACGACGTTGAGGTCGGCCGCGACGACGGAGTACTCGCCGCTGAAATCGAACATCGCTTGCGCGGGGGGTTGCGTCCCCGTCCCGCCGCGCATGAGGAAGTAGTAGGACTGCGCTTCGATGAAGCCGTGGAAGCGGGTACCGAAGTCTCTCAGCAAAGCGTCCTTGCACTGGTAGGCAGGGTAGGGTGACGTCCGCTTGCGTTTTCTGGTCACTTGCAGAGGCTGCGAAGTGCTATGAGCATTACACAATCAAAAGAAGCAGAAGAAAACAATCACCTTCTCCGGTGAGACTGCGGCCTGCTGTGGAACCACAGTCGTGCTGTTAGAAAGCTTCAACCTAGCTTTGTTCTTGGACCCAGGAGGTCGACCAGGTTTCCGCATCGCAGCTGCTCTCCGTCTCACACACTGCTCGCACGCCCTTTCAGACGGATCCGCACCGTCGCCCATCAACATCCCGCAGTCCGCATACATGCACCTCCCAGCTTCCACCTTGCCAGCCTACGTCAAACAAACAAACACGAGTCAATGAACTTCCACAAAGGACCGAATATTGAAATTTATATATAAACTCACGAGCGGAAAATCATCCATCACATTATGCGTCTTCCCCGGCGCAGGCGCAGGCAACTTCCCCTCCTTAATCAAAAGCCTTTCCGCCTTCCTCCTCTCAAGCCCCCGACACCCCCCACACATATCCCAATCATACTCCCTCACATCAGGAATAACATGATTACACCCCCACCCCCGACAAACCCGCCACCCAACCACACTCTTCGGCAACAGCTGCTTCCTCACCGGCGCCCGCACAGGCACAGGCGGCGGCCCACCCCACGTAACCTCCCTCCGAGACCCATCCGGGCTGAACTTCTCCGCTGGAGCCCTGTAATGCGGCACCGATGATGATAAATCCTGAATCGGCTGTGGCTTGCGGTGGATGGGGGCCCCAGCCATCTCAAGCGCACGGAGATTCTCTTCGCGCTCCCACTGCTTACGCTTGATATGCGCACGCACCGCTTCGGGGTCGACCGGCGTCCGCTCGTATCGATAATGTTGCCCCGCTGCGGTAGACACCGACGATACTGGATGGGGCGGGGTGCTATTCGGTCCAGGAGGGCCTTCAGTTGAGGGTGGCGCAGGCGGAGGCACAGGGACAGGCGCAGCAGGCACAGGTAAAGCGCCTGCGGCGGCAGCATGGAGACGCCCGTGACGCGCGCGCTGGTACTCGCGGTATTGCTTGCGGCATGGAGAACAACATTTCCAACGGTACTCGGCTAGAGATGGAAGGGGCGCGCGACATCGTGCGATGGTGCAAAAGCGTGGTTCGGTTTCAGGTGGTGCAACAGTTGAGGTTGAGGCTACTGGGGCTGCGGCTGAGGCCGCTGTTGGAGCAGGTGCAGGTGGCTTGTTCGGAGAATTAGAAGGCGTACGCGCAGGTATACGAATTTTCAGCGACACACGAGGCACCTCCTTCAAAACCAATCAGTCTGCCGTCAACCAAAAAAAAAGATTCAAAAAATCCACCAACCTCAACCTCAGTTTCATCCCCCGAGCTAGTCAAATCCGATAACTCGCTGTCCCAGCCTGTACCATCCCAAACATTCACCTCGTCGCCGCCATCGTCTTTGTTCTTCGCCTCACCCGACTCAAGTTCCGTCGTCGCCTTCGCCTTCTCCTTGTCGTCGATCACCACCACCGGCGTTTCGTCAACCACCATCTCTTTCACTCCCCCCACCACGGCCACAGCCACAGCCGATCCCTCCTCCTCCTTCGCGCCGACCGGTGCAGCAGCCTTCGGCGTAGTCTTCAACTTGATAGTCACCCTCGCCTTCGAATCCGGCGTCACAGGCGTCGCCACAACAGGTTTCACCGCCGTCCCCGCCGCCGCCTGTGCTTCTCTCACCCTCCTCTCCCTCTCCCGCTCCCTCTCCTCCCTCACCTTCATCTTCACCAACTCCTCCCTCGCCACCCTCTCCGCCTCAATCCTATCCCTCCTCCCAATCCAGCTCCCCCTCACACAACTCAGACACCGCTTCCCCGTCCCCGACGCCGCGACCGCGCCCCGGCACCCCGCCGTCGCGCAGGGCAGCTGGATCGCCACTCTCCGTTGTTGCGGCCGGGGAGGGGGCGGGGGCGGCATTAGGGCGTTGTAGAGCGAGGAGGAGGATGCGGGTGGGGGGACGGGTATTGGTGCGAGAGGGGGAGCGTTGGAGGGGACGGTGGGCGTGGCGGAGGCCTGGGTTTGCATGAGGCGTAGGAGGTGTGCGTAGATGTTGGCGGTCGCGCTGGGTATGGCAGCCGTCGGATATGGGAGAATGGGCTCGGCGTGTCGGGTGGGGTGGCGGGAGCGGGGGCAGAGAGAGATGTAGGAGGTGCAGATGCAGGATGCGGCGATCGAACGGGGTTGTGGTTTGAGTACGGGGGTGCGGTTGTGGTGAGCGTGTATGGGGACTGA